ACTTTCTGTTATCTTCTGCTATATCTAAACTTTTCTTGTTACTTTTTGTTACCCCTGGTATGAGTAATTTTGCACCTCAGCCTCATTTTATAATAATTTACTTCATTGAACTTTTGGACTTCTCCTTAGCCTTTTTTTTTACATCACTTTTTCTTTAGAATTCCTCTCTGATTTCAAGATCTGAAAAGATAACCAATTGGAACCTTAATGATACCTTATTATGCCTTCATCTTCACAGAACTTCACAAGATTTTTCTTTGCGATCCTTTACTCATCCTATTACCTTTCCAAAAGCACTACTAGTTCTCTAAACTTGTGAAGTTGGACAATCTTTTTATTGATGCCCATTATCCCTATTTTCCTTTTCTCACTCCTTCCTCTTCTTCAAACAGTGCATGCTACCATCTCTCAACCACATTCACACCAATTATTTCCTGACTTCCTCAGCCCCATTCTTCCTTAGACATAATGAAATCTGAACTGCCTTAACTTTTTAAGCATGTAGGAATAACACTGTCAATCACAGGAAATTTTGAAGGCTTGTCTGTGTCCTAACATTACTTTTTCAACTGCCAGGGAAATTAAAATCCTCCATTACTCCATCTTCTTGTCTTTGGGGTGTTTCTGTCAAAAGCGCACTTTTTAAAAAAGTCTTCCTCAGAGCATGTCTTTTGTGTATTTCCACATTGGCTATTCAATAAATTTGACCCTCACCTCTCCTTAGCTTCAGAGAAAGTATGTACAGGTTGGATGTGCAATGCTACATTGTACTCTCTTCATCCCTACCTGTCCTTCATGAAAAATTATCTCCTACCTCAACCAGCAGCCTCATGCTTTATCTTGCCATGTCTTACAACTTTCAGTTAAACTTCGGAATAGCAATGAAGGTTTTTTTTGAAAAACAAATTAAAGGATGCATGCAATAATGGTGAAATAACTCATTTGAGTTATCAGTCGAATTCAGTACCCATTCCACTTCCATGAAGAGTAGTTGATTGGTTTTGTGTACTTTACTGATTTACATGTAAAAATAATGAATGTTTAGAAACTCAGAATTATAATTAAATATCTTGATATGAGGGAATAAAATATTACTTTGAATATTTCTTTCTGGTCTGAATTCTGGTTTTATAGAACAATTAATTTCTTTTATATTTTGCCTCCCTTTGCAATGGATGCAATTTTAAACCCCTGAAGTGTCCAACAAAAAAGGAAACATGGTTTATAGTACTATTTATACCCTCAGTCTTACTGCTGCTGCTAATAAAAAAAGCAGACATGCAAAGCAGAAAAGCAACGCTCCTAGTACAATCGCATACAAATTCAGTTTCAAGTATTGCTCTTGTGCCTCTCCCATAGACATATGCCATGGGCAATGCACAGCATTTTGTCTGAACAGGAAGAAAAAGAGAAAAGGAGAATGAAAACTGTCAGGAAGAACAGGCAGAGATGCTTGATGTCAGTTACCAAAACCAAAGAAATGTAAGAGAAGAACAAAAGTCACAGAATCAGGTAGGTTGGAAAAGAACTTTAAGATCATCAAGTAGAGCTATTATCCTAAGATTGCCAAAATCACCACTAAACCATATCACTGAGGGCCTCATCTACACAGTTTTGCACACTTCAGGGATGGTGATTCCACGGCTTCCCTGGGCAGCCTGTTCCAATACCTGATCACCCTCTCTGCAAAGATTTTCCTAATATCCAGACTAAGCCTCACCTGGTGCAGCTTGAGGCCATTTCCTCTTGTCCTATCACTGGTTACTTGTGAGATGAGACCAACCCCCACCTCACTACAACCTCCTTTCAGGTAGTTGTGGAGAGCAATAAGGTCTCCCTGAGCCTTCTCTTCTCCAGAATAAACAACCCCAGCTCCCTCAGCTGCATATTGTAAGACTTACTCTCCAGATCCATCACAAGCTTTTTTGCCCTTTTTCTGGACCTGCTTTACACCTGAATTCAGAAATAAGCCAGAATTCAGGTAGAATTACTACCTAAAACAAATGCTAGGAATGTTTCAGTATTTCTAGATGAATAAAAATGAAGATGATAAATATAAATCTAAACGGGGGAGGGTGATTAGAAATACATCCCTTTTTTTCTTCCCCCTCAAATCTCCACAACTTTTGACAGCTCTGCAAGTTTAAAACATAAAATGTCTGAAATAAGAAAAGTAGGTACTTATAAATCCATACTTTTAAAACAGTAAGGTTTTTATGAATTTGGCTTCAAAGAGGACATATAAGGGCATAATACTGCCTGCAAAGACCCATGTTATCCTAAAAGACTTGCCATGTAATGCCATGTAATATTTCAACCTTCCAGTGCCATACAATGAATCCAACTCCCAAGTCACTACTTTTTTTTCTAAAGATGACTCAGTCTTTTTGTACCTCTAATGGTATCCAAACTGAATAGATAGCACAGAGACTTGGTTTACTGGAGACTAGCAAATACAGAATCTTGAGAGTACAGCTGTAGTAAGCTCATTTGCTGTAATAAGCTTACCAGCCATACAGTTTTAAGTTTGCTCATCACAAGCTTGGTGGTGTTGCTTACCTAATAACATTAAAATGATAAAATATTTTTGAACTCTAAAACTTAACTCCTATCCTGCCCTATGGGAAAGAAACATAAAGGGAAAAAAAAAACAAAAGAAAACAACAAAAACCTAACCCAAATATTTATTGGATTGTCAACACAGAGACAGTAAAGGAGAGTAAAGTGGATTTAATTCAAGTAAGACAATAATATAATCTCCTATTGAAATAATACCATGCTATATAGTCATTCTTATTGTAGCATGGTAGGTCCAAGGCTCAAATTCCCATTGGTTTGACAAGAGGTGGGAGACAGAACAGACTGAGAGAAGGTGCTCAAGATCAACAGACCTCAGCAGTCAAACCTGTACCAGGCCCTTAAATGGTTCCCTGAAGTGAGAAAGGCCTAAAGAACCTGCTTACAACCCAATGTTCTTCATACAAGGCATGTCAATGGAAATAATTGTCACTGTGTTGTGTTCTTGCTACAGCCCCTTCAAGGTCAGTTAGCACCTGTACCTCTCTTTCCTTTCAATGGGATCACTAGGTCACACAGACCACAGGGGGAAAAGTATAAGATCCTCAATCTGCCCTGGAGAAAAAAAAAAAGGACTAGCTAAGTATTTGGTCCATTTACAGAATGGACTACATCTGGCTTTCTCTTCATGTGGAATTACATTAAAAAGCTGATTTGACTGTTGGAATAAAAAGTTAATTCCATTCTTCAAACTACAGCTCCACTCAACATCCAGTTAAGGTATAACATATTTTCCATCAAGTACACATGTAGTTCTCACTGATACAAACCGGAAATATGTACATAGAAAGCACAGTCTGTCCTCTTGCTAGCATGGGGATAGCACACTATTAAGACGCAAACCTAAGGAACCTCCATCTTTCTACATATACATCCATGTAGATGCCTAACACAGTAGCTTTAAGCACACAAAGACCAACACTTTTCTGTTAAAAAAAAAAAGGATAATCAAAATATTTCCTCCTCTTTTTGCCTGAAAAGAGTTCTCTAAAGTTTCATGTATTTGAAAAAATTCTGTATTTGCCTGTTTGAATTTAAGTAAGTATGGCATTAATATTTTTTGCTCAAAAGTTATATTTTAGATTTACGTTTTGCTACCATAGCTTCTCTACCCAGTCTCTAGGCAGAAAAGAAAAAAATAAAAATAAAAGTTCCCCAAATAAAAGCAGACTTGACACCCTGTATGATGTGTTTGTGTAAGCATGCACGTTTGTGCATGACTGCTGAAGGTTTTTATTTGTGATGTTACATATTCAGGCTTCAGGAAGTAAGTTTTAATATTTGAACAACAACAGCATTAATAAAGTCACAAACATTCCCCCTCTGTAAGTGGTTAGGGAACTATGAACTGTATTATCTTTATGTGAATATAAACACTGAGTCTCTGGGCATCTCGCTAATATTACTACAGCTGACAAATCAGGAGTTACTTGAATGTAACAAGGACTAGAAAGAATTTACAAAGCCTTTATAAGCAGAGATTTCACTTGCTTTCCCCAACCCCTATTTAATTACAGAGCCTTTCTAATGCCACACAATACAATTTATAGTTACTAGTAAAAGTAGCCTATCCAAAATTACTAGCTAGGTGAAAATAAAGGAATGAGAAATTAAAAAACGAATTGGTTATTAAATTAGAGTTTATGCATTCATAATATGAAAATAAAACAGTGATCAGTTTTTAACTTAGATATTTTACTCTTTTAACAAATCATTATTAAAACCAGAAATATATAAAATAGTGCCAATTATCCTGAACAATCAGTGATTTATCAGTTATTATATATGCTAAAACATTCCAAGGTTTCCATTGCTTTTTTAAATATGAGTCTGCACTGATGCCCATTAGGGCATCATGGGACTAAGGTAAAATAAATAATCATAGTAGTGGGGCAGAACACCATTTGCTGCAGAGAGGAAATACTACAGATCTATGCAATCCTGGATCCTGGCCAAACACCAACACAATTCTGCACTAAGAAAACCTCTGTATCATGTAAATGCATATTCAAACAAGCTAAGCTTGCAACTAGCTTGAGTGCTCTTTCCTCTCCTCATATCTGAGTGCAGGCTTTTATAGCAGTGAAGGGCGAGATTCTGCCAGATATGGATGCATGTATTTGAGGTTTCTTTTGAGATATTCTCTGCTTAAATAGGAAGTGATATAGTAGGGTCAGCATGAAGTTAAAAATATCCTCCCAGCTGCTGTGAGGTATTCTGGAAGCTTTATTTTGACCTTTGGTATTCAACATATGCCAATTCAACTGAGACAGGCAAGCAATGACACCACAGAGTTTGCATCTTGTACCATTCAAAAAGCAAATATGCTAAGTATATGTTCAGTTTGGTGTGTCAAGCATGTGAAACAAAAGATGGTGATGAGTGAACGTACCAAGCTACATTATCACTTTTGACATTCTTACCTCATTTACATAGACCCAGTGACTATCCTTTGATGCAAGGTTGGTTTCCACAGCCTACAAAAATAAAAAGAAATAGAATAATAAAAATTAAAAGTGTGAAACATATTCCAGAAAGAACTTATATTAAAAATTACTATAAAGCTAATTTTGCTTGCTTTCGTTGCTATTGGCATTGCTTCAATGTAGCTCTTTTCATCTCTTTCACTGCTTCTTCATGGAAGTATCCTATTGGTGCTAGTCACATTTCTCTGACTTTAGTACATAAACCAAACTACCTTGACCATGAAGATATTCCCTAGATGTACCACAAAAGCATACGGGAGTAGGGTGGTACATCAACATGATAAGGAATCCTATGATGAACAACTGCACACAGAACATGAGATTTAACTTCCACATGATATATGTAATGCATCCAAATAGGCTGGGTTGCTTTTCAATATGCCTCCCAAAATATACTGCCTCAGCCTCATTACAACTCCTATAGGTTAACTGTTAGATAACCTATCTCATGCAAAACACTACTCTGAGACACTCAAGTGAAGTTCATGAGTCATCCTCTCTTCACGTTTATATAAGACTCAAGACAAAGTTATGATTTGCATGGACATTTTTTTCTGGCTTCCTGGTGTGGACTCAGATAATCACTATTATAAAGAAACAGCCCATCTCATCGGGAAGTATATTTATCCATACATATATAACCCTTATGGTTCACCAAGATGCTAAAATTGGGAAAGACTGCTAATATAGATAGCACTACTAGTACTGAGGACCTCAGTGGAAAGATTTGGCAATATACATAGAAGATTATAACCCCTTTGACATAGATAAGCTCACTGCAAGATGCTTTATAGTATAACAAAGCAATATCAAGCATCAAGAGGTGTACACTACAGTGATAACGATATTGCTAATGTCCTGCTTAACACACAGTTAAACAACTACTGTGGATTCATCTCACCTAATAAAACAGGACAATCCCAGTGCACATGTATTTCAGGAGGCAGTTCACTACACAAAGTTCTGAAGGCCTCTGCCTTCAACCACTTCTTTCTTCTGTGACAATATGCCCTTATATATTGAAAAGGTATTCTTATCCCTGTGTTATAAATGGCCCTATGAATCACTGAAATTAACCCAGTTAAAACAAACAAACAAACAAACAGATTAACAAAATACTTCCAGTCACTGTTTTTTAATCAAGGTAATTTTCACACCCTGCTCATTGTGCCTGGCCTCAAAACAATTACAAAGGTACAGAGGGGCTCTGTAGACTGTGGTACTGGATTGGGCAGGAACATCATCAATCACCTTCTTCTCCAGAACGCATTTTCATAATAAGCCTCTCAGATATTTAGCATCAGGTGGGATGAATCACCTTCTCTCATCACACTGACTACAGATGACTGGTTTAGAATAAACACCCACAACTTACAAAGCTGCAGTGAAAAAGATTATCCACCCTTAACATAGGCAAAGGGAGTACTGTTACCTGATCCTAGAAAAAACAACAACAACAAAAGACAACCAAACCAAACCAAAACCTGGCTCAATAGCCAACACCAACATTTAAAAAAATTGCTCTTAATTTATACTGTGTTAAAAAACTGAGTATAAATTACTTGTCTAAGCAATTGTATTTTAAAACTCTAAGCAGTTGTGTGGCCTATGAAAACCTAAGAGAAAATTGTGGGCAACACACACACCTCAATCTACTTGTCACATCCACAAGGTGTACTCCTTTAAAGAGACGAAAATCCCTAAAGAGAAACCACAAAGAAGTCAAAAGAGAAAAATCAACACAGGGTACAGGATTTATCCTCATCCTCCTGAACAGCATTATGGGAAATTAACTATTGCTGGTGTCAACAGAGATGAACAACACATCTGACAAGATAATCCTCTCTTAAGCATGACATGAAAAATTTTCTCCCTTGGTAATTGTCTCCCTTGTACTTCTTTTAAGCTGGCAGAAGAATTGTGACTATTAGGAAGGCTAGCAGTAATGAAAATGAGGGCAAAAACTTGTAAACTTTCTCCCTATTTATCCCTCTATCATATTCAGACAAAGCCAAAATAGCCAGGATCTGTAACATACAGAGGAAAAGCAAAGTGCTGCCAACATTAACAAAGCAGAACTAAATAATGCTCAGGTGCAGAGTTATTGCACTGGCCATCTTTCGTGATTTATCTGCAACAGTGAGCAATTTGTATGAATATATGCTAAGACTGGGGAGCCAAAAGAGCCAGGGAATTTGAAATGAATTATTGTGACTCATTCTTCTGGGTTCACATATCTGGGCCAAAGTTTTTAAAATGAGGTGCCTAAATTTAGGTTGCTAAGAGTTTATCTTTAGTCATCAGAGTGCTAGACTATTCAGCACCTCCTACAGAAGTCAATGGCTCTACATTGTAAAAGCCTGAAATGTATTTAGAAACATAACTATAGATAGGCAAGTTTTGGTGTCCATAAATATCTTCTGTTTAGAAGTGCAACACGTAGCATGAAGCATTATTATACACCAAGACATGCTGAGAGAAAGCAAACACTTCTGGTATTTTGTGCTTCAGGCTTTCTACCATATTTACAGACTGCTGTCCTAAAGAATCCTAAAATGAAATATTGAAAGATGCATCTCAGAGTTTTCAACCTTCTTACAGCACTGGTGTATTGCAGGTGTATTTCCAGAGGCTTGTTGAAGTTAAGCAGTGTGAAAAGCAAGAAAATTTATGCAGAATTCTCAGAATAAGAAAGAAACAACGTGTTTGTAACTTACTGGGCTTCTTTTTCTTTGAAGAGGAAAAGGGAGATTATGGTCACCCATTTTTAATTATTCAAACTGTTCAAGATCTTACTAGTTCTTTAAGCTTGTGTCTCCATCCATTCAAAAAGAAGACAAATGTCAATGAAAAATCCTAAAGGATCAATTACAGTTTATTTCATAAATATACCCTATATTAAAGAAAGCAGGCTAGGAATTCGTGTGATCACTTTGGCTGAGAGAAAGCTCTGCCATCTATTGGAGCAGGATTTAGGTGCTAAAATATGTTATTGCGGGGGTTTGTGGAAAAATTATTAATACAGCTGCAAAATATCCTAGTTCTTTTTATACTCTGTATGTACATACCAGATAGGTGATACTTGGGACTAATGCCTCAACATTTCTACCAAATAGAAAATCTGCTTTTGAGATAAACAGCACACTGGAAATTAAAGACCATCTCTGTTTTCTTTTAGACTAGCAAGTATCTTCTATAGATTTGTAAAAGAAAGGAGGGTTTTTTTGAGACTGCTTGCCCTTCTTCTTCCCCAATTAGATTTCAACAGCCAAATGTTAAAATGAAGGACCCAAACAAAAGAATTATCATTCAGTCAGTGGACCACCATCAATGACAACATATACATAATATTTTCAGAATTGGGCCAGTCTGAAAAGATGGAAAGGGGGGCAGTGAATGTAGAAAATTTTATAATTTCTCAGTAGAAAACACCTGCATCAGAAATGACACTGAAAATCAGTGGCTGGACACAACTTAGAGAGAACCTGGTGTGTGTTCAGACACGGGCAGACTGTGTTCAGTGACAGCAGAATGTGCTGAAGAGTTTAGGCTTACACACATCTGTGTTATAGTTACAAACCTGTTGTCTCCTTTGTACTCAGGGGAGAGGCAGTAGGAATGTCTGGAAGCCCCATAACTAACCCTGGGATCCTAGAAAGAAATGTATTGCAGATGGCAAACACAGATGGTCCTGTTGTATCTACATTTTTGGAAACAAGTGCTGCCACCCTGAAATCATAAAAGAACCATCGGAGTGTTTTGCTAGGAGGGATATCAAACTAGTAAAGGGTATTACTTGTACATCCCCTGCTTTAATGTTGAGAATAAAGAGCACCATAGCTTTTCAGAAGGAAAAAAAAAAGCCAACAGTAAAGAAAGAGAGCGTAGACTGGGAAGTTCACAGTTAGAAAATAACTTGGGAAGAGCATCCTAAGAGATACTGAAAGAACACAAAAGCAAAGCTGCTGCAAACCAATGACCAAGTACAGATGGCAGCAGAGAACAGATACACCTGCAGCATGGAATGCTCTGCAGAGGCACTGGCAGATACACCCAATCATCTCAAGACCACAGCTCCAGAAACCAGGCTCCATTTACAAAGCTCCTCCTATGCAGCTCTATTCCAGCTTGCAACCCTACTGAAGACCCCTACAACCAGACAGACTGCCAACAGTCAGCCCACAGGATGCTTATAACAGAAAACCAGGCACAGAGCAAGCTGAGCAGTGAGCAAGCCTTCAGGAGACCCGAGTTCTTTTTAAAGACCCCAGTGGTGCAGGATGAGGATGGAAAACTCAAGGTCAGCTTTACTACAACAAAATACTTTTTTTTTTTTTCCTGTGGGTTTGCTTGTTTTTAAATTATTAATATTGAAGGTGTAAGTAAAGGGCTTGGGGAAGTAAATCTCGTCTCTGCAAATCTTTCATAAAGGATCAGCCTCAATCCTTACAATTAATTACCTGCTCACTTTACTTTGCCAGTGGACAGGTTTCAAAAGAACTGTCTCCAGCTCTTACTGTCCCAAGCAAGGTTATAGCCAGTGACCTTCTTCCAAAAGTAGCTTCTTTCCCACTTAACATCGTTGCAGAAATTATTTACCTACTGTTGTCACTCCACAAAAATTCTTTAGAACCAATTTGAAATCCATCACAGTAAACCAGCAACAGAAAAAAAGAAAAAGTCACTGCCTTCGTCATACCCTTTTGGAAGCCTGAGCCAAACCTAGCTCCAGCTGCTGGGTTTCACTGCAGGAGTTGGACCTGTATTTTTTAAAAATGGCTTTTTTCTTGACTTAAATGTCCAGGAAAACACCCTAGGAATCAGGAACCTGGTTTACATCCCAAAGAAGAGATCTAGACTAAGTTTTCAATGCAATACATCTGAAAGTAATTAATTATACACTATCAAAGTGTACCTGTTTATCTTAGAAGCTTTGCATATGTCACAGACACAAATAAGATAGGAGATATGAAAAAGTCAATTCTGTTAGA